CCCTACACGTATGTAGATCGTGGCTAGTCGAGCTGTCAAAGAATATCTCGACGCCATTTGCTGGCGGTTGTTTCAAAATGGTTTGCCACTCGAAGCAATCGCGTCTGCTGACGCGACGTGGAATAGAAAATGGTGTCCTTACCTTGGTATCGTTGTGAATAAGACGCAGTCGAAACTTGGATAAGACGTTCATTTCGTTGACACGCTCGACGGCTAATCTGGCTGCTTGTAGCTCGCTGGGTCCTTCCGGTCTGGGTTCAAGACCCTGCGTCATCTCGAATAGACCCAGGATGGTTATGTTTATCTTTTCAGGCGATTTCACGTTTGGCACTGTGACACTGCTCTCCTCGTCTTCCCCTTCAGCACTCTCGGTACTCGTCTCGTTCTCCAAATCCTTATCACCGATGCCAGGCGACGTCGACGGCAGAGATGACGTCGAGGACACGGAAACGCGCTTCTCCTCTGGAAAAGGCTTTCCACCGGATATGCTGGAGGATCGCCGACCAGAAGATGCACCCGGTAACCAGTGATCGTCCGTGGTGTCGTCAGCTTTTTCATTTTCCTCAATCGCTTCCTGCCTCCGTTCCTCCTCCGTATTCTCATCTACTTTACGATGTCGATGAAGAACGTCCCTGCCCGGGCTTTTCGGAAGATCCGGTGACATGGTCGACGGATACGACGCGACTGTAGTTTCGGAAATATCCATTTTGGGCGGGCCAAAGTGCCTCCTGTCAAACTTTTCGACCTGCGGCGCTACAGGCGGTTTGTACGTGACTTTTATAGGGAATTTCTGTGAACCCTCGAAGCCCGTAAAAGGTTCCTCGCTGCTCTCATTCGAGGTCGGTGACAGATTGCCATTTACTTCGATCGAATGAACTGGATTCTCGGTCCCATTGTTTCCTTTCGCTTCGGGATTATCCACGATTTTATCAGACCTATTTCTTCTCGCAGACCTCGAGTCCTCGTTCCCCCTGAATTCTTCCTCGCATTCTTCGCAATCGAGCAGCGATTCTTCTGATCCGGCAAAATTCGTCCCCGTCCTCCTGTCCAATTTGTGCTTCCTTCCAAAGTTCCTTTTCATCCTCAGCTCGATGTGCTTCTTATCGCGATAGTTCACACCGTTCAACCAAGACGTCTCCTGGCCGTCGACGTTAGCCAATGCATCGTTTTCCCGTCGGAACTTTCGTTTCTCGTGTCGCCTGCGCGATTCGCCCAAGTAACTGTTCACGATCTTAGGCACGATCGTGAATCGCGAATCGTCGTTACCAGACGATTCGACGTGCTCGTTCGCCACGTGCTTGGCCTTCTTCGACGAGCTCGTTCTTCTCAGCGACGTCCTGTCGTCATCTTGAATTCCGATCCCGTAGGGTTGATCCGATGAGCCGGAAATCTCGTATTCGTTCAGATCGCGCTGTATCCACTCTCGAGGATCGTCGGGTACTCTGCGGGAGTATTTTCTTTCGGCGGGGTCAGTGAGATAGGGAAACGTAGCAAGGTCATGACTCTGGGGCCTCGTCTTTTCGCTGCACGGCAGGACACTGCGGACAGAGACGATGCCGAGGAGGAGGAGGATCAGGTTGCAAGGAAGGTGGAAGGTCTCGGAGGATGAGAATGGCAGGAGGAGACGAGAGAGATCGCGGCGCGTGTGGACGCGCGTCATAATCAGTCGCCGTCGCTGTTTCGACGACTCGGGGCGTCTTGCCGGTTGCTCCTCATCTGAAAATTAAGAAGCAACGTTATCGTACCTTTCGTCAATCTTATTTATTAACCCCTTGCACTGGACGACTTTTTCCTTACAGAAAAAGAGTAATTCGAAGACTTGCTGTCATAGAGTGGACGATATTTTTAAAATGGTAAATGAGAAATCATACGCAAATTAAGACGTAGAATTATTTTTCACCGACATTCCACACATCGTCAGGTAATTTTAAATTTGATATATTAATTTACGTCGATTTTTCAAATCTGATTAAATGGTGACTGAGAGTCACCTCTCGAGTGCAAAGGGTTGATCGAGATATTTTGTTCGTATAGTATTAAACGCTAGAGACTAGTCAAAATAATTGGATTCAGTTAGACTCGTTGCTTTCGACAGAATCGTGGGGTTGCTTTTCACGAAATTAATATCGACCAATAACCAAGCCAAAGTCGTAACTATGTACATCTATTTATCTGAGTTATTATTACGCATACCGAGCTAGGAATACGTTTAGAAATACGTCACAGGTAAGCAGTTCCAGCGTCAAAGCCGGACTCGTCGAAACGAAGACAGTCCCGCTGTTGGTTGGTCTTTGAATCGAATTTATAGCAACTCGATCGTATCGCGTATCATTTAGGTACACGCTCCCCTTTATCGCGATTAATAAATTTCAGAAAGTCCCTCCGCGACTCGCAACTAGCCGCGTCTGTCAACTTCAGCGGCAACGAGTACGCTTTCATCGAGACATATCGCGCGCCTAGCACTGTTTCTGTTTCGCAGACGGAAAATCTGAAGGCGCAATCTGCTTAATGTAACATCGCAGAAACGGGAACACGTGCGCACAATTGCACAGGCCATGTTAATGAGCTCTAGTACCCTTTTATCGTAGCATTAGAGGAGCATCTGACCTTCCTCGGAACGAACTAAGTACGCGTAAACGATGATAGCGATTAAACAATGGGATTTCGTTTATTCGCCACCCTTCGCGTTACGTAAGCTTCTGCCTGCGAGCATAGTCCCCCGGGTGGCTTGTCAACGAACATTCCCTCTCGACGTTTTAACGTAATTGACTTTCTAACTACTAACGGCCCTTGTTACGCACTCCGGTGTGGTTTCGCAAACTGCCACACTGATGCATCTCTATTGTGCGCCATTCCGGCTGTATTTTATTATGCATGAAAATGCGAATCGAATCTCGAATTGCTATGCATGGATACATCGTCCGTGCTGAGCGTACGCGAGCGCAAGCGTCGCATCCGCTGTCACTGGAGATGCTTTCTTCGAATTTTAATCAAATCCCGATCTAGCGCGTAACCTAAACGTGACTCGTGCGAAAATCTTGAAAAAGGGACCTTGTTACCGCGACGAGATTAATTTCTTCCTAAATAAAAATCCAGCAGTGCTTTCTTTCTTTTAACGCTCTGTTCGCTGGAAAGTTTTGCACCTTGGCCGCGCTAAAACTGCCAGCCTAGCAGGGTATAAATGAATATCGCGACTTCAATCGTGTATCCCGGTAAACCGAGTTTCGGATATCGACAGGTTCATCGCGTCGAATGCGAACCGACATTTTCTGCAGGTCGGTTTCGCGTAGTCTCGCCCCGTCGTTTTATTTCGGGCTGCTCGAGTCGGGCAGAGAATGGAACACAGCCCGTGACACTTTCGATAGACACTCGGTTGACAGAAGAAAGCGGAGGCTTCGAAGTCTCGCGTAAGGGTAGACCTCTCGACCCTCTGACCTACCACACCATGTAAACTCGAGTTTCTCCGAACCAGCTCTGTTCCTTCCAAGAAATACACGAAAGAAGGTGGACGTAGACTAATAGCAGCTGTACGATGACGTGGAAAGAGAGAAGTAGACAAAGGGATCGCGCGTAAACGTGCAGCGCGAATTAGCTGACACCCTTGTACGTTTCCAGCCGCTGTCACGTATCGAAGCGTCTACTACCGTATGAAACACGGTCCTTGGAGTCGTTAAGAAAGTAAATTCGCAGGGAAGCTGCGTCGAGTGGCTGACCAAGTTGAGCCAACGCCGTTGCGATCACCGTAAGATCGGTTTGTTTCCTGGAACGCTCGGTTCCTTCGTTAATGATCCGAGGCTCGGCGGTGTACGGGGTAAAGAAAAGCGTGTAAGAAGATTTACTAGTTACGAAGCCCGTGTTCTTCTGGATTTGCAGAAGAAATAAGATTGCTGGGAAAAAGCAGCGTCGCTGATGGATCGTACGAGCCATATGATTGCTTCCGCGCATCTGGAAACGGAATATGCGGTTCCCTCGGGGCATCGGAACAAGGATTACTACTTTCGAATTCAATACTACGTTCATTTCGTTCCAGTTCGATTTACGTCCGCGATGATTTCGCGAGACGCGTGCAGCAACTCGCGTTTAAGGATTCGAGTTACGACGGTGCAATACGTATCTCAAGCCTGCCTCGTCCCTCCCCGCGGACCGCTGCCAAGGAAACAACGTTCGTAAGCGAATCCTCTCGTTATCGGTAAATTGCACTGTCACGACGTTCGCTGCGTGCGACCGCAAAAACACGAACGAGTAATCTTTGCACTTCGGAAAACGCGGAACGACATTTAAAAGTATAATTCGATGATGGCAATCGCGCCGAGTCGCCAGCCAGGCACCGGGAGATCAGCGTTAATTCGAAACGCAGGATGGTTGATTTTCAAATTACCGCGAGGTAAACGCTTCCTCGCCGAGGAGGAAAATGCCGAGCGCGTCGCGCCATACGTTTCGAATAACGAGGCTAGGAAAAAACCGGAGGAGGAAAGCGAAACCCGAGAAAGGCAAGCAGCTTTTCCGCTGCCAGAGCAGAAGAATTCCTCCGAAAGTTCGTTAAGCTCGCTCGATATTCACCGAAGCTTCCCTGCGCGATCGCGTTTCTTTCCCCTGAAATTCCCACCGTGAATTTCGCCCCGCGACATCAAAGCGCCGGTGCAGTTTTTCCTCGCGGAAAGTCGGCGAATTACGCGTAAGCCCTTTAATTACGCGTAAATTATTACCGCACACCTGCCCTCTAATCTGTCGATGGCAGTTTTACCGAGCGGCCGCGTTGTTCGGGGGTGACGGAGCCGCGTTAGAGAGAGCGAAATTTCACTTTTACCGAAGAATTTCGACGAAGTTTCGTTGCTTCTGAAACTCGTTAAAGCAACTAGTCGGGAGAATGATCCACGGAGCGGCAGAGTGCGACTTTGCTCGAGCGTTGGCGAAATTGCGTAACGGATTGGAGAAAGTTTCGTAGACGAGGCTCGATGGTTCGAGATGCGAGGAGAGGGTGGAGAATTAAATTCTCGTTTTTGGTAAACGTCCGACGACAATGTACGCGGCCGCGAGAACGAATTCGGTAACGATCCGTGTGGCAGCGAAGCCTGTGCTTGCAAATCGTGGCGTGCTTGCCCGTGGCGACCGCAGAGATAGCGTTGCGATTTGCGAGTCTCGTCCAACTTGATCGATTGCATTTATTAGAATTAATGGGAAGACACGGACGGTCGCAGCGGCCTTAAAAGCTTCGTTTCCCGAGTTTGCTACTTGGCCCGTTTATTTGTTTACCGAGCTTTCGCGTGCACTTTCGTAACCGTTTCACAGTCATTAGAACGCGGTGGAAGGAAAAGGGAAGAGCGAGAGATCGAAAGCTCGCGGGGCCTTTGTCAGCGAGAAAAGTCATCTCTCGTCGGTATAAATAAGACGAATTTTAAAAGCGGCGCTTAACCAACAGTTACGAGACGCATGAAGTTCTTAAATTTGCACGCGGTATGAAACCGCCTTTCCGACTTTTACAAATACTCGTTTTGTAAAAGTTACGCAGCAACGGGACGCAAACTCCGGTATTTTCTTGAGAAGATAAAATAGACAATGCATGCCATAAATGGAGGAACTTTCGTCGTACTTTTCACCAGCGATTCGGTACTTTCGAAAGCGGATATCGAGTAGATTTTTCTCTTTACCGATAACGCCGACATTTTTCTTTCTCGCGCGAATCTGGTACTTAAAAATTTTGCCTGACAATCGACGTACTAATCGCGGAAGAAATCGGCAAGAATAGAGACGATATTTTATCGGGTCGGACAGAGGGGGTTGAAAAGTACGAATTACCGTAAAATCGTGTAATATTGCTTCGGACGTCGCATTTTTCTTCGCCACAGTTCCCAAGAAGTCGATGTCGAGGATCTCGCGATGTCGATGCCGAATAACTCCGTCTATGGCGTTTCTTCCTCTTTCTTCCAGCTTTTTAATTCCGCAACCGATCGATCCGAATCTTCCTCAACGAACGGGTCACTTTTAAAACGATAATCGCCAGAACCAACAATCGTCTCACGGTTTTTCTACCGACACCTATATTCGTTTGCTCCCTTTCCACCGAGTCTTTACTCCGAATCTGGTCCGAGGATCGATCCTCGCATTGATATTTCTCGATGTCCTCTACCCCTCCGAGATATTTCTACTCTTTTTCGAGCACCAGCGATTATCCATCAGGGAAGCGTACGAATTAGCTTCTCTTTTCCATCGGGTTGCTTTCTCGCCTTTTCGCGTTTCACCCGTGAACCCGTGATGAACGTTGCAGATGCTCTTTAAACGTTCATCAACATTGCACCGAGGACGACGATACCTCGCAATTGCGTTTCAACGATTCCGATTGTCCGCCAGTATTATCCGGTTACTCGGTTGTTCCCAGCTACAGGCCAATCGTGCTCCGCATTATTTATTTGCAATCAACTTTGATTAAACGGCGGAATTGCGGACAGCGACGAAATCTATATTATCGGAGCGGAAGAACGCGCGGCTGGACTGCTAGGACGAACGGACAACCAGTTGCAAGCGTAGCACGAGTTATTCGGTGCGTTCTGTCCCTCGACGTCGGTCGGTTCGCGCTGCTTTTCGAAATTGCTCGTGGTCGGGATTTTCCTCTTGAAAATTCGCGGAGAGTCGCGGTGGCGTGTGCGGGGCGAGTTTTTCGAAGAACTGCGGGCAAATTCGGAGCGTCGGTTCGCGCAGAAGGTGTCGCGTCGGAGCAACCGCGTCGCGTGCTGGCGGTTCGCGCACTGTTGGCTCCGTGGAATTCTGCGAGCCTCGTCTCCTACAGGAGTTCTCGTGACAGGCCGTCCTGGTAATGCGCAGACGCTCGTTTCTCTTGCATTTTCCCTCGAACGAAAAGGTACGCTTCGTTCATCAAACGACCATTTACCCGTGGATTCCTTTCGAAATTCGTTTTACGACCAAGCCGTCCATCTAAGCCCTTTTTCTCTCCTCCCGTCGAAACACCGTTCCAGAGGCTGCAGGCCAGCCGATCGGAAAGCTGAATCTCGCGGAGGGCGAAGCTTATCCGCGCGACACCGCGAGTCGCGAGCAAAGCGAAGAAAGCGTCGAAACCTTCTTTCCACTGAAATTTTTCACTCCCTTTCCCGAACACGATTCCCAGCTTCGAAGGTACCTACGTGGAAAAACTGTGAGGAGAATACTCCAGCGATATACGCCTCGATCGGTATGGTCACCTCGAAAGCTTTTCCCCTCGATCTTGCGAGGGAAAGCTTCTTCGGTTCTCGAGCTTTCAATTTGCCCGATAAATCGACTGGCGATCTATTCGAGTTGCGAGGACGTACTCGAATTTGCGAAATGTGGCCTTTCCTATGGAGCACGAAACCGCGGGTGTTTTTATTAACGGGCCGGTGGACAGATTACCATACGCGAAGCAAAGCGAACAGGGTAGTTTCCAAGTATCTATTCGATGGTGTTTTCAGTAAGCGTATCGGTGTGTATCTATATGCAAATAAGCGAACATCGGTCGTTTCGAGGGAAAGTGGTTTAAATAAATTACGTTGTTCCGAACCGCGAACACAATTTCCGTGTGTCTTACTCGCAGTCGGGGCTGCAAATATGCAACGGACTTGCCGAAGCACGTAACCATATTATCAGCCAGTTATCGTACGCTCAATGCTCCCTAATGACGTTACCATTTCAATTGGCCGTTTGTTTTATGGCGAACCTAAAATAATTTTATCGACGAGCGCGAGGCACGCGAGTCCCAGTTTCGAATCGCAATTTCGCCTCTTACGTACGTCGCTCCCCAAATATCTCTCACTCCTTGCCTCAAGAAGGAAAATAATTTCGTATATATGAAATATGCCTTCCACTCCTCGGTAAACGTCATCGAGGATGTCCGTATTGTAGGATTAGTGCTAGATTAATCCTAGGTTGAGAGAGATCTACGCGTCTAATACGCAATGACTCGTTTTTAATAGCAAAACAGATTTATTTTACTAAAATATTACACTAGGTACGAGAGGAATCTTTATTTCGGTGGCGTCACCCTGCATCGAGATCTATCTTTGCTTCGAGGAACCATCCAGTTTATCAATTCTCGAAGCTGGGTTGAGTAACGCAGTGGGTTGTCATAGAGTTTATAAAAATCTTGCCCAAGGGTTCGACGGGACACTCTTTTTGACGGTCCACCGTGTGCACCACGCTTCATAGAAGACCTCGAGCCTTCGTTTATTTCATACCAGCAAGAAATATAAAATATAATCAGAATCAAAAGTCCCGTTTGCTTTATTAATCCGATCTTTATCACGTAGCTTTCTCTCAATTTTGACTCTCAAACACACGATCTATTCGCTCTAAGTCTCAACTGCAAGTATTCTGCTTCGCCCGCACCCTTGCACTCTTACTTAAAGTCAAAACTCACCCTTTTCATACGCAGGCTTTCTTTCTCGAGCACTGGATACAGTCATCGAGTTGATTTTTAGAATCGTTTGTTCTTTCGCCCGCATCCTAGATATCGCCCTGAACGCTCGAGTCGAACCCGATGTGGCTGTTTATTATTCCTCGCTTTCCGAGAAGCGACTCGAGCGTTCTCATGCATTCGCTTAAAAGTAAGACCGCACACCCATTCGCCCCGATATCACTCTTGATACTATTTCCTTTGTCAGCGTCCTTCACTGCTCGCGATACCACAGTACAGAGGGTAAATTTTCGTCCTCGCGTTGGTTATCGAGGACACTAGGCCTCAGCGGCCGTCAGCTACCCTGTTCCAACTGTGACATTCTATAAATCCAAAATTTTGCTCGGCTCCCGCTCGATGATCGAATCCAGTTGCGAGGCCACGCAGACCACGAACTGCGGAGCAAGGAGTATTCCTCGTGGTCGCATCTCGTCAACGCGATTAATTCCTCGATCGATGATCCATCCACGCACGCGGACGTATCAACGATGCAGACGTAAGAAGCGGACGCGTTTCGCGAAAATTCATGCAAATCCCCTCCGACCAAGTTATCCTATTACTACGGAGTTGGTCCGCCGAGATGATCTTTCAAGGTCCTGTCCGATGTCATGGGCAGTCGATCGAGTGAACGCTACCGTTTTACTTCCGTCGACTATGCGAAGCGATTGCTTTGGATTCTCCGGAGAATAGATGGAATACAAGGCAGGATGTTGGGTCACTAGAGAGAGTGGCCTTTGTACTCGGCGCCGGCCACGAACTCGCTACAGTTCCAATTTGCTTTGCCGGTTTGTGCACGTCATCTATCCACCGGAGAGACGCCCGATCCTCGCCGTTATTAGATTACCAAGACATTACCAATGAGAGCTAACCGTATGAAACAGCGCCACGTCGTTTCGCGGTTTGGACGCCTGTCCAACTTGCTACCGCATAAAAGCCCGGATTCTCGCAACTTCATGGATATTGCACGTTCGTAGTTTCTTCGAGGCGGAGATCGAGAGGAACACAGCGGGGAAGCAAGTTGGCGAAATCCACGGTGTAATGGGTTCCACCGGGGAACGGAACAGAGGTACCTCGCAAACGCCGTTTCTAGCTTTCTTCCGTTAGCTTCATCGATCGTCTATCGGTCTATAGGCGAAACCAGAGGAGGATCTGTTCGGCACGCGCGGATCCTTTTACTCGATGTGTTTCGTACAACCCCGTGATACGTGACCGAATCCTACCGTATCAAATTTTTCCATTCAGCCTCGTTAGAAGGCTCGTAAGAATACTAAAATCGATCCCACTCGAGGAAGCGCATCCGAGGGGTATTGCACGTAGTTTTACATTTCAAATTTCCAACAACGCCCCTTTCGTTTAATACGATCGTGTCGAGGGTGCGATAAAAATTCCGGGAAGAGAAGATCCGATGTAGAAAACTCGGCTTTATTAGACGATGTCGAGTATCGCTGATATGATCTCGCGCCAGCATCGGTCTAACTCGAACAACGAATGTAAAGGAAATGCAGGTGTCGTTTTTCTCTGTCGTGCTAAAGGCTGCGCGGAATCTCACAGGGATAAAGATCAGTTTATTTCGCCAACTCGAAGACATTTCTCGCGGCAACTGCGAGACAGCAGAAATGCTTGTCCTCTGTCGCGTAATATTTCACGCACTTCGTTAGGTGTTGCTAATTGCCATTTCGCTGCGACACCATTTTCTAGGAGTCAGCGGGACTGCACGGCCCTTGCAGCGAAAAATAGAATTGCCGAGAAAAAGGCGAAAGAGCGACGGGAGAAGGGCAAAAAGTAATCCTTGCTGGAGTAAATGGAACATCATGCAACGGAAGCGTGGGATTCATTAATAAACTCTAATTACTGGAACGTGTAATTAATTAGGAGCCTTGCGAATGTAATAGTCGGTGAAGTTTACGCTTTCTGCTTCTCGATGAGACACGAATAAGCAGACACGTAACAAATATTCGCATTGCGAACAGGTGACAGGTGTTGGAAACTGTTGTAACATCGGCTTCCATTTTTAGTAGTTTCAAAGTAGCAGTGTCTGCAGGTGATAAGAACATGGAAGAATAAACTGTCAAGAGAAAGCAGTTGCTACAAAAATTGCGAGAAGGTGTCAAGACATCGGTTACTATCGCGGGAAGATAATTATTAGCGAACGTGACATTTTGGCCGATGTTCGGCAGACCATGGCTGACTATACAGAGTCTGCGGTTTCGAAACTCGGGGTCATAGTCATTTGTCGATTTGACTGCGGAGCCCGAACATATCTAAACTTTCACGGGGAGGGGTTGAAGACGTAAACGGGGTGGACAGTGGTCATCAATTACTACCGTGGGCTAGCTGAGACCGTTATCGGCTCAGCCTCACTTCACCCCCTGTTACAGTCTGATAATACTTTTCCGATAATTTCATTCAATTTATTTAATACGCGAGTAATACCTATTGGATTCCTACACCCGAGGAATACACTCGTAGACCAGTTTTCCCGAATCATCCCAAACTCGTTCGTTTCGGATCAGATCGGCCTCTTTCGATTTTTCTTTGCTCGCATTCTTCCACGTATCTCTTCCCCCCGATTTTTACGGGGAAATTAGTGTCACTCGAGGAAGATACAAATGTCTCGACAGTGGATTAACCCTTTGCATTCTGCTGCCACCACTATGGTGACAT